TTGAACTTGAGACTACTTTGAAGGCAAGTAAGGAGAAAAGTTCTTTGAAGAAAAGGAGGAGGTTAGTGAAGAGTAGACTAATTGATGAGGAAGAGGTGCCACGCCACCTGTTGATGTGGTTGATGTGGAGGATGAGGAGAGGTGGAGGCATCTCCTATTGTGAGGAAAAATTCCAAAAAGAGCAAAGTGGAGAAAGGAAAGGCGACTTAATGGGAAGTTCCTGATAAGGAGGGTGAGCAGAGTGAGAAGGAGAAGGGGGAGACAAGACCTATCAGAAAAAGGAAGGTTAGTTCAAGTAAGGAACCTGATTATTCAAAGAAACCAAAGGTTGAGTTGTCTGAGTTGGAGGGGAAGGCGACTCTCAGGTCTCAAAAAGTATTGCTAGGTAGTGTTTTTGACCCTGAGATTGTTGAGAAACAGAGCATCAAGGAACTTCACGACATCGTTGAGTTACAAAAGTTGAGTCATCTCTTTGCTCCTCCAAGTCCAAAAGTGTATGAAAATGAGGTAAAAAAATTTCTACGCCAATCTGTTTATTATTGGTGATGATACACTATGCTTGTGCGTGAATGGGACAAGTTAATTCTTGATGAGGAGAAGCTCGGAGAGATCCTTGGTGTTCCAACTAATGGGTTGGGAACTGTTAAGGGAACTGCTTCATCTAAGTTCATGAAGCTCATTGTCAAAAGGGAAGAAACTGTGTCTGGGCTCAGACTGTATAGAAAGAAGCTTAAGCCTGAATATCAACTACTGTTTGAAATGGTCAACAAAGTGCTGCTGCCTAGGTCCAAGAGAAGGTCCAATGCATCTATCTCTGATCTAGTCCTTATTGAGGCATTGACAACCTTCACTTCCATAAGCCTGCCAGGTCTTATGATCGAGCACATCATGAAAGTTGCAAATACAAAGGATGGCAAACATGGTCTTTCCTACGGGTTCTTCCTTACCAGGGTCTTTGAGTAATTCGATGTTAAGCTTAAAAAAGCAACCGTGGGGACCAGGAAGCAAATGTTTACTCTTGGCACTTTGGTGGAGTGTAAGTGTGTGCCGAAGAAGGGAGGAGTTTGCAGCAATTCCACAATTTCTAGTTTGATTGACAAGAACATGCAACCGCTGAGATTCATAGGATCCAGGCTGAAAATGTCATCTTAACGTCTCAGCTCGCTTAGAAAGGAACAGAACCAGGTCCCAATGGTCCCTTGGCAGAAGAAAATGCTCAGTTGAAGACTGAGAATGCAAGATTAGAAAACAGGTGGAGGATCTGAAGGAGCAGATGGTCATTGATCAGAGGACCGCCAATGAGTGGATGGACAAGCTCCTCGAAGCCTTAGCCCCTTAAGTTTCTTTTTGCCCAGTGATCCATGTCTTCAAGTCCCTCCAAATCCTTCAAAGTTCTTATCTACTTTTGATCCATGCTGTTTAATAACATTGGTACTTTGGCTGTTAATTAACATATTTTGTGTTGTTGAAACTACTGTGATTTTATAATAATTAATCGTTGTGGGCAATTACTCTACGTTTGTGCAATAAAATTCACATGTTGTTCCTGTTATTGTTCATATTGTGTTGTCCAAGTGGCCATGAGTTAATGTTACTGAATTTCTTGTGCTTCTTTTATTACTCTTTTCAGTGATGCCAAAATGGGGAAGTTCAAGGGGGAGGGGGGTCAAAGGGGTAAAATTGATATGCTGTGTTATGCATGAAAGATGGGGCTAATTCGAAGGGGGAACATTGTTGTTAACATGTTGTTATAGGTTTGATTCGTAAGGGAAACAAATGGGAATCTGGTTCTCAGGGGGAATATCAATTATGGGTTTGTCATCATTCAAAAAGGGAAAATTGATAAGTTATGCTATTTCGTATTTTGATGATTTGCCAAATGTTCTCGAGGAACCAGATATGATCAGTTTTGTGGTCGTTGTACAGTCAACTCTACTGTTGTAAAAGCTGCCTCACCGTACCGACTGGCAGCAGTACAATGACACATCTGTTGCTTACTATAGGCCAAACTAAAAGATGAAATGTCCCTATCTATTCTCACATGCTCTCTCATATATAAACAACATGTTACAAGGTTTGACCTAACACTTGACAATATGAAAAATCACATTCTCTTAAGTGCTAGCCGCCACTGCTCTCAAGGTTCTCTCCAGAACAAAGCCGCTACAAACTCAAGGACTAGATCCCAATATTGAAGATGTCTTAAGTCCTTTGGTTTGTTGTGTCTTGTCATTTTGTTCTTTATTTGTAATCCTATACTAGTTTCTAGAAGTGCTATTATAGGACAGTTTTCAACCTTCTTTGTTTTGGTTTTCTTGACTAGAGTTAGTCAAAGTTTGTTGCTTTGTAATAGAGTTATTACAAAGGGTTTACAATAGAGTTATTGCAAGAGGTTAGTGATTAATTCCTAGGTTGTAATGAAGTTGCTCGGTTTAGTGAAGTTGGAAATCCTACACTGCTAGGTCGTGGTTTTTAATCCATTGAGTAAAGAATTTTCCACGTAAACATCTTGTGTTATTTACTTTATGTCTTTTTGCTGTGGCAACAGATAGAGAACCTGATTCTCTGTACTGTTTGGTGGACTCTTAGTTTCTATCAAATTATCTTTGAATGTTTTTTTTTTTAAAAATATGAGACTATAACTATACATCTTATATCAATTAGCAGCGTGCTTTAAAACTCAATCGGTGATGTATGTATTGATTTTATCCTTTTTCACTTAAACACTAGATGCCTCTATTATTGAGCACACAAACGCGTGAGTCCTGACATATATCCAGAGACGGAGCCAGGATTTCAACCTTATGAGTTCTAAATTTTGGGATCACGACTTCAAGTATTGATGAATGAGGTCTAGATTTAATATTTATACATATTTCATAGATTCAAAATACCAAATACACTGTTTGAGCAAAAGCTAATGGGTCCGACCGAACTCATAAGTCGGCTTGTATCTTCGCCCCTACATACACCTTTTCATGGGTGAATGCATTCTATAAACAACATAATAACTCAAGGTGGTGATATTTTCAGTCAAATATTTTCTGACATAAAAACATAAGTTTTGTTCTGTAGGTTCTTTGTTCAGATTGAGTAATTCATAATATTACTGCCATTAATCAACGACCAACCTTTTCTTAAAACGCCAAGGTTCTCGAGGTCATTGTTCTATTGCGAAAGTTAGAGCAATTTCTTTGGCATGATTGACTTTTTATGATGTGTTAAAAAATATTTTTTTTTCACTTACAACCTAAATTTTCACTTATTGTTTAATCATTACAGATATTATTTGGAGAAATATTGGACATATAGACTTATAGTCATGATAATATTCTAGTTGCCAAACTTCTAGAATTTACATTTGATACAATCTCATTTACTATAAAATTTTATATTTTCAAAGTTCATATATGTTTAGAATCTATTAGAATGTTAGTTAATGCTTTTGGACTTTCATGTCTTAATTAAAAAGAGGACATTATCCTTAGAATTAAAATGGAAGAAATTTCCAATTTCATGTCAGATAAGCAAAATTTATTTTGAATAGTAACACAAAAACAAATCAAAAGAAGTCAAAGTATATTTTCTTTCTAAAGAATTTTCCATTAATTTTGTGTAAATAACATGATGCCAATGGTAAAATCCAATTCATTTGCATGCCTTTTGTTGCTCTGTTTGGGGTTAATTTCACCGATCGTATTCAATTATGTGTCTATTTCACAAAAGTCACTATTATATTTTTTATCACTTAAAAGTCACTCAACTTCATCTTTCTCACGTAAAAGTCATTCTAACTCAAAACCTATGAAATATTCTACAAAATCTGACTTGGCATTAAATTTATTTAAAAAATCTAATAATAGTGCCACATAGGCTTAAATGACCATACCCAGTTTGGCTTATTTCCCTTCAACCCGATTTGACCCATACCCAATGAGTTATTAATATTAGACCATCAAAAGGAGAAGACAAAAATAATCATTTTATGCTAAAAAAATTCTTTACAAAATAATTTTAATGCCATCAATGCTCTAAAAGTCCATAAAAATATGAATAAAACTAGTTTTTGCATACTTCAGATCATTTTATAATTTTTCTTGAAGTTAAAGTACAACCGTAATATCAAAATGTTGCTTGTTAAGCAACATCAATAAACAAAATTATTGTTCAGTTAGCAACACCCAGAAACTAAAGCGCATAATGGAGGTTGTTAATATACACTGCAATCACAGGCAGCCTATAGCATTAACAGTTTGGACAAAAGAAAGACACGGTATAATATTTCATTAGTATGACCAAGACCAAAAAAAAAATTTAGAAAACCTAATTATTAGATTAAAAGACCTAATTCAAAGAGTAACCACATAGTGTATTTTATTAGGCGGAGAAACATAATTTTTTATCTTAACCTATTTGGGTTAGGGTCAAGCCGAGTTGAGGGGGAAATGAGACTAAAATGGGTATGGTCATATAAGCTGACGTGGCATTATTTTAGATTTTTTAATTACATCTAATGCCATGCCAATTTTTTGTAGAATATTTCGTAGGTTTTGAGTTAGAATGACTTTTAAGTGAGAAAGATTAAGTTGAGTGACTTTTAAATGATAAAACATAAAATAGTGACTTTTGTGAAATAAACACATAGTTGGACGACCACCATTGAAATTAACCCCTCTATTTGCATGAATATTCCTTGCTATTGCTCTCTCTCCTCTAAGCTCTACCAGACATTTATATTTAACTACTTTATTTGTTATTATTTATTTTATAATGTTAAAAAACATCTTCAATATGACAAGAAGCATACATACAGCTAGGCTGTTCAAAATCTTAAACAAATCCAATGACCAAAAATGACAGTTAAAAACTATTCAGAAAATCTTGTCACTGCTCAAAATAGTGACCTAAGAGAGATAAAAGTTAATGCATTAAATTAAAACATTCCAATTTTAAAAAAAAGTTGTAAAGTTTAAAAAGCGTTTAACCTTTTCTTTCCCAATACATTCCAATTAAAAAAAACAAAACACTTTCAGAAACATAAAAAAGAGACTTTTTACGAAAAACTCCAAAATCGCCACCACCACCACCACCTTCTTCCGTCCTTATACCCCATACCCCCGTAACCCTATCCCACCCCAACCCCCAAATTCTCTTCTTTCCCATATTCCAAATTAAAATCCCAGAAAAACCCTTTAAGCAATTCAATTTTTTTGAGCATTTGGCTTACCATATAATGAACAATCTCAAGTTTCAAGTGTTTGACTCTGTTCCAGCTTAAGGTTTGAGGAGAGGCCGTAGCACGTGGGGGTTGAGGCGTGCCACATGGCAAAGCGCGTGTACCAAGTCTGGAAAGGAAGCAATGTGAGAATTTCTTTTTTACTTTTGTTTCTTTTGATTATTAGAAATTTTGCTTCTCTTTTTTTGTGGGTTTTTTTTAATGTGGTTGTGCTTTAATTTTTTTCCTGGGTTTTGGTTGAACTTTTAGTTGGGTATTGTTTGGTGTAGTGGGTTTTGGAGAATATTTTTGTTACTGTACATAGTTTTCTAGTGTGTGTAATGGTTACTTTGTCAAATTTGTGCATAAAGATTGAATTTTTATTTGCTTAATTCAGCTTTAAGCTATTCTAATGGCCGTATGAAATGTCTTAAGTTTTGATCTGAACTGTAAAGAATGTTACTCCTCAGCATTCTTTGCGTTTTGGAATTCTCGGGATGTTTTCCAGACAAGTATCTGCTAGTTTCTTACATTCATAAAAATCTGAAATACAATGTTGAAACTCTAGTTTGAAGTTTAGATATAACTTACATATACACACTTTCTAGCTCTGGGTATAGAGTGCTAAGTACTCCTTCATCCTTAACCAGAGGTCTCGGGTTCGAGCCTGGGTATGGATTCGCCTTTGTTAAGCAACGGTTTACCCCCCAATATGGGACTTCCAGGCACAAATCCATATTTAGTCGGGCTCCAATGCGGCTACTGGACACCAGTTGTGAAACCCAAAAGAAGAAAAACTAAAGATTGTATTATTTCTACCTTGTCAAAAAAAATAAAATAAATATTACACCTACACAATTTTGAATTTGCCCCTTCTGTGGTGAATATCTTAAGAACTGGCCAATTTTTCTGGAGGCTATGCAAGAAAAATATTGGCAGACTGGTTATCAACATGAAGTCATATAGGTCCTACACTGAGATAACTTTGTAGCTGATACGTCATTGCAATGAGTCAGCTGTTACGTCAATGAGGATACTGTTAGCATATTCTTTTGAGCTTTCAGGTGTTATTATACATTAAAATAAACGGGCTAGTGGGTGTATGATATTTGATCTAAGAAGTAACATTACTCTTTTTTTGAAAAAATTCGAAGCATGTATTGGCTCCTTTTCCTACTAAATTCTCTATTCCGTAACTCTCTTATTTGGTGGTTTGGTTAATTAACATTTCCTTATAGGTTGGTTTGTGGCTGTTACAACTATTTTTTTCAATTTAGACTCTCTCATAAGCAAATTTTAATTAGATGAGCAAACCAAAGTGCCCATGTTCCTCTCATCTTGTAGGATGCTGAGCTGCCTTTGGTCCTAGATCAGAAGGCACAGCCTTTTTAAGAATTTGAACTCTTTCATATGGTTCACGTGGTTATTATCTTCTTGGGCGAATAATAATGTTATCATCTTGTTGAAGTTGTCACCTTTTCTGTTGAGAAGTTTTTGCTTTTTTTTCCATCGTCCCATATGGATTTGATTTCAGAACCCTTTTTGAATCTGGAGCGGAAAGAGGGCTGTATATAATTTCTAAGTAACTGCTCAATGCTCATGTGATTCAAGTACCTAAAATTTTCAGGAATAGGCAGCAAATGATGAAATACTGAGTATAAAATTTTGAGACAGAGGAGTAGGGCCAAACCTGTAAAGAAGATGGCGTAGATAAAAACCAGAAGCACGCTAGTTTAGTATATGAGGCAAATTTTATTTCTTAAAAAAATATATTTTCCAAGTTCTAAGTAATAAATTCTTAATCTACAGCCCCTCGGGCTTTGGCCTGGTGGTAAAAGTGCAGCCCCTGATGTGTGGTTAGGCACATGTCACATAGGAGTAGGGTCAAACCTGTAAAGAAGATGGCGTAGATAAAAAAACCAGAAGCACGCTAGTTTAGTATATGAGGCAAATTTTATTTCTTAAAAAATATTTTCCAAGTTGTAAGTAATAAATTCTTAATCTACAGCCCCTAGGGCTTTGGCCTGGTGGTATATATTTTCCAAGTTGTGGTTACACACATGTCACAGATTCGAATCTTGCTGCAGAGAAAAGCTTGGTATCTAAGTAGAGAAGGGTAGAGGTGCCGGCCCATTGTCCACCAAATTTCAAATCGTGTGCCACTGGTCCTCAGGAATTTCTCGATTATCAAGGAGTAAATTTTTTTAGTTTATACACTGGCCACTCAAAGAGACAAAAATAGCAAACTTCGATGATTGAAGGGCCCCCAACTAGCTATAGTTACCTTTGTGCTAATAGCTGACAAATTTCATTAAGCACCATGAAGAAAGGGTGCTTTGACAACTTCTCCTTGGATTTTTCAGATTTTCTCGGTTTATTGAAAAAGAGATGAAGCACATTGTACTCAAATTTTATTCTCTTTGGAAATATGGATCAAAACATAGTATCATTTCAAAAGTATATGAAGTGCTTTAGGTATCAGTGAGGACTCTTGGCTTTTTATCGAATATGTAGGGATATAATAGTATTAGAAGACTAATTTTTCAAGGGAAGTTTATTCACTGAGTTTGAGTGCATAGCTTGGGTACTTAATCATTTTTATGATGGAGATGTTGTTAATCAGTAATCTTAAGGATTGTAGTTCACGCAGATATATGAAGGGCTAGATTTTTTTAAATGAAGCCTCTATAGAGGGACTAACAAATGTAGTGAATTTGAATTTATGGCGCTGTTGATATTTTGCCCAAGTATTGATTACTTCCACTCCACGGCTCCGCCACATCCTTCCCCCACCCCCTCCAACAAAGTTGAAAAAGGAAAAAAAGGAGAAAAAAAAAGGAAGAATATCCTGGCAGTCTATATGCTGCTTTAAAGATGTAGGTAAAGATGCTGAGTCCTGGAGGGACTGTACGTTAGACAACTGTTCTTGCCCTTAAACATTTCCTTTAATTGGTTGTCATTTAGTGTTTGAAGGTTAATTTATTGTTAAGTTTTTCTGCTGTTAGTCATAGTAGACTTCCACACTTCTAATGGTGTTGGTTATAGTGGACAGTGTGCTCAATGTGTTGGAGCCCTTTTGTTTGACAAACTTCTCTACATATTCAATTATTTTCCATATATTTATTTTATTGTACAAATAAGATATTCCTGATAACAATCAAAGGTATTGAGCTAAGATAGTTTAAGAGATTTACCATCGAAGTATCAAATATTAAAGAATAGATAATACACTTTCACCCAAGAAACAAAAGGAAAAAGAAAAGGAAGGCGTTGGTATAGCTTGAGATGATATGGAAATGGGGAAGACAGGTTGATGATAACAAGATCACGAAATCTGTATCACAGTAGGGTGTTACGTCTTCATTGTATGCTTTAATGGTAATTTACTTATCCTCCCGGAAAAAAAGAAACCAAAAACAATAAATAGGAGAAAAAGATCCGTGGTGATGTAGAGGTAGTCAAATGATTAGATATTTTACAAGCAATGATAGAGGGGTTAGGAAGAGAGTTAGGCGTTACTCTGAGGGAATTGCTAATAAATTATTCATTTAGTCAGGCCTAGTGTGGATTTTTTTTCTCTTCTTGATAAACTGTGTTCTGGTTGTGAGTGCCCTTACCTGGAGGAGTTTCATTGGATTAGAATTGTTTAACACTTGCCCCTGTTAACCGAAGGTGATTTCAACGTAGTACATGTGCCATAATACACTGACAATCTTCTAAAGGTTCCTACAATGTGCACTTTGCTCGGTAAACATGTGTGATTAGAAAAAGTAAAAGGTAGTTGTCTTCCTTTCTGGCACTCTTGAAAGACTTGATTGGGCATAGTAGCATTTGAAATTCGAATACTAAAGATTTTTTATTCGTAAAACTAACCTCAAGTCTACTTATAAAAAAAAAAATAAAAAAAAAAATTAAAGTAGAGTGTTTAATATCATGATCGGCTCACCATTGGCCCATTAGTTTTTTTTTGGGCTTATTTTGATAAGCAAGTATTGGTCGTGTTAAAATCCAAGCGCTCAGCTAGTATTGGACATTGCAAAAGTAGGGAGGATCCTTGTAGAAAGCAGCGGAAGCCCCTCATAAAAAGGGGAAGCCTCTGTATAAAAATCACTGTTGTAAAGTATGGATGTAGTCGATCAGGCTGTTTTCCTCGTATATAGCTTCTTTGTACAGGGGCCCTTGTACACTGGGCCATTGACTTCTGGGGCCTAAAGTCCCCTTGTATTGGCTTTTTTTTTTCAGTACAACCCTCTTGGGCCATTCAATTAGATATCTCTCTGTCTTTAGATAATATATGTATAACTCTAACATCATTGAGTATGAAATCATGATCATAGCCACGCCTAGATTGTTCTAAACAAAGAGGAGGGGTCTTGAAAAAAGAAAAGTAAGTGGAGAAGATTGCCAACAGAACATTGACAGTACCAATAGAAATTTTTTCACTTGCACTGATGATTGCATGAAGAGAAATTCTTCGTTTCTTCCCCTTGAAACTGTCTCTTGATCTTCCAACTATTCTTGTGAATCAAAGGACAGAAAAGATAAGTCCTTTTTCAATATTTTCATTTTGCAGCAACAACAGCGTAATTGTTTATCTGTTGCTATAACAAATCAGCAGTAGCATGCCATGCTATACTTTTTACTTCTCATTTATCTTCTTTGTTTTTACTCATTTCCTTTCTTCTGCAGTATTTTTTTCTAGGTGGCAGGTTGATTTTTGGGCCAGATGCAAAGTCATTGCTTATAACCTTATTGCTTATCATAGTACCCGTCACTGTTTTCTGTGTTTTTGTCGCAAGGCATCTGCGCCATGAGTTTTCATCATACAATGCAGGATATGCTATTTTGGCAGTAGCAATTATTTTCACTATCCATGTAAGTTTATTAACCCCTTACTTGACTCTTGAGAATAATTGCATGTTACTTCTGTCACCAGTATGGTTAAAATAATGTGACAAGTTTGTTTTACTTTGAATTCTTGTGGTTTTTAGCTAGTGGCTAGTTGCTGCATTTCATTTTGTTCATGGATACGTTAGCATTCGTGTCTAGGATTTGTTTGTCACTTTGTATGTGCAGTTGTTTTTTCATTCTCCTGATTATTTATTAGCTTTGATTTTTCCATTTTTACACATAAGTGTAACAGTTACATAATTAGGTTTTGCTAATATCTTTTCAGGTTGAGTTTTTGGTGGGTGGGGATATTAACTGTAGTGCCAAGAGCAGTAAAATTGCTGGTTAGATTTCATGGTACTTGGTGATCATGGAATTTCTATTTTCCCTGATCACTTGGATACATATTTTCCAGTCTTTTTCTGTTTACTCATGTTCTTCAGACTTGATTACCGTAGGAGGAGGCAATAACGAATGCTTTTAATATCTTATATTATAGATGACCAATAATTGGATAATCTTAATTTTCATCTTAGTTTGGACTGTTGGTAGTTGCACTATTTACTAGTTAGACACTACTGAACATTCCAAAATCTCGCGCACGTATGGATATGTTTTGTCAGCTCTCAGATTTTGTTAGTGAAACTTTTAGAATTTGATTGAAGTTACTTGTTTTATCTTTATTTTTTTGGAAAGATTTAGCTGAAGGTAGTACTTCTGAAAATAGTTGCCCGATAATTTGTTCTATTTGCTTCTTTCTATGTCGAACTATGTACTGGTATCACCTCTCTATATGGGTATCACTTTTTGATAGTCCGAAATAGTGTAGAGGAGAAATGAATCAACTCACAAGCTGTGGCTTAGAGGATCCCTGAATTGGTTTTGGCAGGTATTGGTGCTGCTGCTTCTTACATCAGCTAGAGATCCAGGTATTGTTCCACGTAATTCTCATCCGCCAGAGGAAGAATTCCGTTATGACACTTCTGCATCAGTAGAGATTGGTGGAAGACAAACGCCTAGCCTTCAATTTCCCCGGACAAAAGAAGTAACTGTTAATGGGATGCCAGTGAGAGTGAAATACTGTGATACCTGCATGTTATATCGCCCTCCACGTTGTTCGCACTGTTCCATCTGTAACAATTGTGTGGAGCGATTTGATCACCACTGCCCATGGGTGGGCCAGTGCATTGGATTGGTAGGGTATTGTACTATCTAAATTGGTTCTATGAAATTTCCTTAATTTTTGGATCTATTGGGTTACTCTTGACAGCTCTCATTTTATCGTGCAGCGCAACTACCGTTTTTTCTTCTGCTTTGTCTCTTCTGCTATGCTGCTGTGCATCTATGTGTTTGCAATATGTGCTCTGTACATCAAGGTGCTAATGAATAATGATCAAGGCACAGTCTGGAAGGCAATGAAAGAGTCGCCAGCATCTGTCATTCTAATGGCTTATTGTTTTATTTCCCTGTGGTTTGTTGGTGGGCTCACCGGCTTTCACTTGTATCTAATAAGTACCAATCAGGTCAGTTGCTTTATCTTGTAGTCATGATAGGACATTTGGTTCTAAGTTCAATCTTGTTATAGAGGTTAAGAGAAATTTGATGCTAATTGTGCTTCAAGATAGGGCATGAACAGGTCATATGTGGTGCATTCCGTAGGCCATGCTTCTTGTGATATTGCCTTCGTCTGCTTTTTACCTTTGTTGGGCCCATGAATATGCTGCTTTTTTTTTTGAGCAGAATATGATTGGAAGCTTTTGATTCCTTTTTGCTGACCTTGCCAAGCAAGTAAAAGATGAGGAGCCTAATGTACTACTTTCTCTGTTCCCATTATTGCTTTTGCTTTTTAATGTACTGTTGCAGGAGGGTAGGGTCAGGTTGGTGTTTTATGTCTACCTTTTCATTTCAAGTTGTTCCTTTGCATTTATGTTTAATAGTTGCAGTTAGTTCTTGTGAAGGTTTTGGGATGGTCGGATTTAGGATAGAAAGGAAAGAATGGAGAGAAACAGTAAGCAATATAGTTATCTTATAAAATGCGCTTGCTTTTCTTTCCTTCTATTCATGCAAAACAGCAAAATGGTTTGGATATTCATGCATTAGTCAAGTATTGTCTATGTAGGTAGTTAAAGTAAATAGCTTTTTGACAAGGTCTGTCTGGAACATCCGCTTTACTATCGTGTCAACAAGAAATTTTTTTCTTGCGCTGTTCTTGATATGCAAGTCTTTGCATTCTCACTAGTGTTTAACCTTGTCCTTTCTCAGACGACCTATGAGAATTTCCGGTATAGAGCAGAAAACAGGATCAATGTCTATGACCTTGGTTGTTTGAACAACTTCATGGAAGTATTTTGCACAAAAGTAAAACCGTCACGGAACAACTTCCGAGCTTATGTACAAGAGGAAGAACCACGACCGCCTTTGCCTACTACCAGGGAAGCTGAAGTTGAAATGGGTGAGGATCATCGAGTGAAGGTAGAAGATGATCTCGATATTGGTGGAGACCTTCTAAAGATCTCACAGCGTCATAATATTGAAGATATTGAAGCAGATATACGTAGCCGGGGGAGTGATGTGCCCTATCATAATTCATCTGAGGCTGATTCAGTTCATGGGTCAGATAGGCGAGCTCCCAACGTGCAATCAGACACACGACACTCGAGCTGGGGAGGAAGAAGCGGGAGCTGGGAAATCGCATCAGAGGTCCTTGGCACGAAAACCAACGTCCCCGAGAGCAGGAGCCATACTACTTCGCGGGAGCCTTATCAATGATTTAATGATGTTGTACAGTTGACGCCAATGGATATATCATTGGGCTGCACTTGTAACTTACTCCTGTAGGTTAAATCTGTAATACATTATGTCCTTTTCACATTCTCATTCACCACTGGATACTAGACTGATACAAATATTCTTTTGGGAAAATTAGTGAATAGGCGTGTGTGTAATTTTTTGAATGACAAGGAAATGCCCTGTTTTGGCTTGCTGCTGCTTCTTATTCTGTTCAATTTGGGGATGAACTGGCTTGTTTTGTGTAGACCTGATGCCTCTGTTAATTTATATAGAGGTGGTTCTCACTCATTTTCTTCTCCTTGTTTTCACCAATTTTTGTGGTATCTTAAATCTTCTGCATCTTTTCAACTTCATATTACAATTCACTAACGACACAATTGTGGAAATAAAATGAAATTGATTGGACATTTGAAGTCTGGATAAAACAATGTGCAGTTGATTTTGAAACCCATTATTACAATATTTGGTAAGGAGAAAGGGAGTGCATCTGTTGTTATATAATTCATTAGCAGGAATGTACTTGATCCAAATCCATTGATCCATCCAAATACAGTGTTCTTTCTATGGTTGAATCTTAACAAATAAATTCTTTACCTTCTTTGCAATTAAGCACGATTAAATTGTGAACTATCTATTCTATTAATCATATTAATAAATGAGCATACCAAACAATTATTTAATCAAATCCATCATCCCAAAATATCAGACACAATTCATAACTTTGTGTTGCAACTTCATACCCTTCCACTCCCTCGTTGAAAATTTGTTTTGTTTTTATTTTATTTTTCTCCTCTCAAAATTTATACCTTCACAAGAAGAATGTCTTCATCAATAAATGTTTCAATTCTTGCAATATTTATTTTGGGATTCTTCTGTGCTACATCAGAGCCAGATTCTCCAAAATTGGTCGACAAGGCTTGTGCTTGGGGTTCAACAGATTGGAATTCTTCCTTCTGTTTAGACGTTTTGAAATCAAGTCCTCTAATCATATCAGCAGAGGATCTGCTGCATCTAACACTATCAATCATCGAGACAGGACTAATAAACGCTACAAGAACACAAATATACATTGGAGAAAAGCTTAAAGGAAATATTATAGGAGTCGAATCAAAGTCAGCTCTTGGTCAATGTCTCAACTTGTATGGTCAAATAATAGGTTTATACAAGAGTGCTTTGGTTAATGTTGAAAAACATAAGTTATATGATGCAGCAAGTTTTGAATTTTCAATAGCTGCCAATAATGCTGAATATTGTCAAGGTTGGCTACTTCTTTCTGGAATTTCTGATGCTGACGTTTCAAGTGGTAACAAATTTATTAAGTATCTTAGTTTAACAGGATATACTGTTGTAAATGATCTTATCATCTCAGATTGGCTTATCAAGAAGTAGGTAATTCTTCTTGGTCCCACTTAATATTTATTATCCTTGAAAATAAGTTATTACCCGAATATTTTATTTGCTTCTTCCCATCAGAAAAACTTGATTCATATACATTGTATGCAATAGATCTAATTTTCCATTAAGGAAGAAAGTAAATTAATTACTGAATAATTGGTGCAATAAAATGTAATATTCGCTTGCATCTTACGCTATCTTCCACGATCCGTAAGTATGTGTGCATATACAGTGCACATGTTGGATAAAAGTCAAGACCGTATATAGAAAATTACTACACAATATCATACCAAGTTTGTACTAAGATTGAGATATTCTTGATGTTTAATTCCACCGTTGGAAGTGGGGGTTTACAAAGGAAACCGACAAATCACACAAAACTGATAATCCGAATCAAATCGAGAAAAAAAACTCGACTATGGTTCGGTTTGATTTGGTTTGGTGTTGGAAAAAAAAAATCCGACCATAATTGATTTGTTTGGTTTTAACTAAAAAAAATAAAACCGAAACCAAATTAACCTGACATTACATGTATATAAATTTTTAATAGATTTAATACATAAAAATATTTATTGCAGCGTAATTAATAAATATTTCTTAAATTTTTTCATACTTTTATCTTTTAACGTTTTATTTCAAGCTTGGACTTATAATTTTGAATGCCCCGATAAGTTTTATAGTTCATAAATATTAGTAACTCAAAGAAATCCCAAACCAAAATCAAATTATATTAGTGCTAACAAAAGACATTCAATTTAATTGTACTAGAATGGAATAGTCTTGGATATCTATTTTTTTTCATGGTTTAGATAAAATGTATAACTTATTCTTTTTAGTGTTTAGTATTAGTAAACTGTATTTGTAAACTAATTCCGGAAAAGATAAAATAACATATAAACAGAAAATGTAAACGAAATAAAAGTTAATCCGAGCCCACTGAATTCACAGTGTTTGCTTAAGGAATTTAATCCCCTCCTAGTACCCAAGGTTATGGATTATTTCCTCCCAGGATAGAACAAATTACACACTGGTGTAGTGGTACTTCAAACCCCAGTGTTTCAGCGAACACAAAGTTCGGTAGCAAATCACACTTAGTGTTGCTTTCTTTGAAGTTAAAAGTATGCAGAAGAAAGAAGGAGAACTCATAAAATCGTATAGAAAATATGAGAGAATGGACTTGTATTTATAGCTAATGTTGAGCTCAAAACTGAAGAGGTGCAACTCTTCAGAAAGGTTGTTTATGCAAAACGGCCATAGCATAAATGCCATACCATAAATGGCTATTTACGCAACAATAAATCGGGAATTCAAGAGGGAGGTTAATTTTCAATGACAAAACCGAAAAACGGATAACGGTAAAAGGTTTAATATTTCGTTGGATTTAATTTTAATATTAATATTATGTTATTAAAACAGATATAATAACATTTCTGTTAATATTTACTATTAACAAATAAATTTGATCCAAAAAATTAATCAATCAATCGATCAATTGACCAAATCCAAATCCAAATCCAAACCCAAAGCCGAGCGACGGCGACGACGGCGCGAGCTTGCCTTCTTCTCAACTCTTTAAGAGCTAGAAGAAGAGCAATTGCTTATATACCCATCAAAACCTCTTCCTCTTCCAATATGGGACAATGCCCCTTTAGCTTAAAACCTCAACATTTAGTCATGTAAATAAATAGTACTTAGTCATACTTATTTTAACAACTTAGTAATTCTAGATTATGTTCATTTTTATTATGGCTTATTAATTATATTTATTATGCGATTTTTTTATCTTTATTGTTGAATATTTTCGTACAAGATAGTTGATCTCATATTTTAAGTTATTTTCTTGAAAAATACCTTATATAGTTTTGTCTTGCTAAGATTACAAAAATATTTGGAGCACAAATTCTATGTTTTATATTATGAAGACTTTATGAAAAGAAAAAAAAAACTCGAAAAATTCGAGAAAAAACGAGATTAAAAAATCTGACTTTTATTGGTTTGTTTTGGTCTTTAATTTTAATAACCCGATATAATTGATTTGGTTATCCGAATCAACCGGACCTATATACCTCCTTAATAGAAAATGTGTTGTTTATTGGCTAAAAAAAAGTGAGGCTTCTATTTATTTAAACGCGTCAGTGTCCTGTCCTTTTGTAAATTAATAACTACGTAGAGCCCAAGCATTACTTGTTTTCCTAGTTGTTCTCGGACTCAAAATTAAATGAGAATTGCCATTATGGTAAGTATGAAACGTAGGTCCCACGTTTTCCTAGTTCTTCACGGACTCAAAATCATAATTCTCATAAGACTATGGTTTTACCAAGGGCTGCTTCTTAAAATTAGTGGCCTAAACCCAAATTTTAACAAGAGGCCTTATACTTATTTTTATTAGTATGTATACACATATATGCAAAAAAATTAATCTTGCCATTTTTTTCATACTTATTGTTTATAGTATATATTCTTAAATGACATAAAGTCTTTAACTTCACATAGTAATATTATTATTTATATTAGAAAATAATAATTTAAATAAATGAGATGTTAGACATGTATTTACAATATGTTACCTTTGATATTGTTGTAAATTTACTAATATGAAGATTAAGTAGTTTAATTCAAAGTTTTAAAATATTTTATTGTTAAAGAGTAGACACCTTTCTTTTTTTTTTCTTTTTTTACAATTTTTTGTACTTTTTTATTTTTTTATACAAACCTTAATATTGTCTAACTTGAAATAAAATTTTAAAATTCATTATTAAAAATTTTGGGGGGACCTAAATTAAAGGCTTTACTAGTCTCCTATCAGAGCCACTTGTCCACACCTGATATTCTCAATCAAATTTATAGAGTCTCATTTAAGCTAAGGCAATAATAACAAGAACATTAAAGGCAGTGAGTGTGTCATTCAGTTACCAAATGTGAATAAAGTTGGTTGAACAGTACGTTCATGGTGGGGCTATAGTCTATAAATAACTGTTGATCGTCAATGAAGGGCGGCTCAATAGAACTGGTGGCCTAAAACCAAAATATACTAAAAAGACCCTGAAACGTCTTTTACGAAATCCATATTATATTGAGATACAAAAAAAACTACATGACTTTGATATAGTGGTGAGAGTGCAACTCATGATGTATGAGTTAGTCGCACATCATATGGTATTGAATTGATCTTCCCCTAAATGAAAATGGTAAAGGGTGAACCCATTATCTGTCGTGTTTTGAATCTTGTGACATTTGTCTCGAGGATTTCTTAGTTAAAAAAGATGAAACACAAAAGAACTTGCTTTCTAGTGTGTGAATCAATGAAATGTGACAAAACAGAATAGTTAATTTAGAGAATTTGAGTTGAAATTAAAAAGTAAAATCGTGAGAAACATGAAAAAAGACTATACATAAAGGAAGAAAATAAAATTGATGAGAAGATAAATATATTATTTAATTTAGTGAAAAAAATTTATCCAATTAACTCACTCAATTTTACGTCTACCAAATATTAAAAGTTATTAAATTTAAAACCTTTTATTAATAATTATATAAATATAAATTATGGAGTATATATTATATAATAATATAGTAGTGCTTCTTATTTTTATTAATTAACTCACTCACTAGAGGCTTATTTCCTGGAGGAAGATCAACCAATTCCCATGTATGATTATCCAAAATTGATTGAATCTCACTATTGACTGCCTCTTTCCAAAATGCTGAATCAGAAGACGACATAGCCGCTTTAAAAGTTTGAGGCTCATTTTCAAGCAAGAATGTCACAAAATCTGGTCTAAAGGACGTAGATGTTCTTTGACGTTTGCTACGCCTTGGATCTTCTATACTTGGAGTATTTTCCTTTGGTTCTTCCCGAGGTCGTTTAGGTTTTTCACTTAACGACTCGCTTTTAGTTTTATACGGATAGATGCTTTCAAAGTATTCAGCATTATCTGATTCCATTACCGTATTAACATGAATCTCGGGATTATCAGATTTATGAACCAAAAGTCAACATGCTTTACTATTTGTAGCATATCCAATGAAAACGCAATCTACTGTTTTTGGTCCAATTTTAACCCTTTTAGGTAAAGGAACCTGTACCTTTGCTAGACACCCCACAGTTTGAAATATTTCAAGTTGGGTTTTCTTCCTTTCCATTTTTCATATGGAATAGATTGCGTTTTGCTGTGGGGTACTCTGTTGAGTATTCGGTTAGCTGTAAGGATAGCTTCCCCCCACAAACTCTGCGGTAATCTGGAATTTATTAATAAAGAATTCATCATTTCTTTTAATGTCCGATTTTTTCTTTCCGCAATTCCGTTGGATTGAGGTGTGTAAGGTGCAGTAGTTTGATGGATAATTCCATATTCCGAACATATTTCTGCAAACGGAGATTCATATTCTCCACCTTGATCACTTCTAATCATTTTGATCTTTTTATTCAATTGATTTTCTACTTCATTCTTGTATTGCTTAAATGCTTCAATTGCTTCATCCTTACTATTAAGCAAATAAACATAACAATATCTAGTATAATCGTCAATAAAAGTAATAAAATACTTTTTCCCACCTCGAGATGATGTCGACTTCATATCGCAAATGTCAGTATAAATTGCTATTTATCTGTATTGCTATAAGTAAATAAAACAGTAATCTTTCTGAAAAATAAAACAGAAAGTTAGTAGAAACAATTCTGAAAAATAATATTCGAACTTCAAAATAATTTTTGAAACGTTATTGGAACAAATCGAGCCCACTGAATACACAGTGTATCCTTAAGGAAATTATTCCCCTCAGGTACCCGAGGTTATGGAATGTATCCTCCCAGGATAGAACGATTTAACTCACCGGAGTGTTGGTACCAAAAACGCCGATGATCAGCGAACCACTCGATGGCAGCAAAACACACTGGAATTTTAGTGCAGAAGAAGAAGAAGATAATTAGAAAATTTCGTAAGTAAATATTCTGGGACTTGAAGGTCTATTTATAGTCAACTTGGTGATGTTTCTGAAGAGGTTTGCAACCTTTCAGAATAGTCATGACTGTTGGAACAGGTGTGACCCTCTGAAGAGTCATGACTGTTGGAATAGGTGTGACCCTCTGAAGAGGTTTGCAACTTTTCAGAATAGTCATGGCTGTTGGAACAGGTGTGACACTGTTTCAGAACAACCATGGCTGTTGGAAATTCTTGCGGGAAATTTAAAACGAATTTAAATTAATCCGGAAAAGAAAAACGGGATAGACCGGACCGGGTCGCGGGTCATCCTTCCATTTTTTTTCCCACCATTTTTTTTCACACCTCTTTTATTATTATTTGTTAAATAACAAACCCAACACGTAATACTGCAACCTTGCCAATGTAGTGATCCCCTACTTGCCAGAATCCTCTTATTGGTTTTTCACCAATGCTTAATGATAATACTAATTATTAATGATGGCGAGCATGTAATTTTTGGCCAATATATAAATTACTCCAAAAAATTTCAAAAATAGTTTTTTTAAAATTATTTTATAGAATTATAGAATTTTTTTTTATATTTGATTTGATTTGATTTGATTTGTGCGTCTTTATATTTGATGCATTTTTAGTAGCATTTTAAATCCTAAGAAAAATTCAAAAATATTTTAATCTTTACATTTTCTTAGATTTTAATGGCATAATTAATTAAAACACTAAAATACCAAAAATTCATTTGTCACTTTACATGCATTGTTAGTTAAATAAATTAGTTAATTGTTAGAAAAATAGGTCATTAGGTTAATTTTGAAAATTAGTTGGAATTAGGAGTGTTAATAAAATGGCTAAATTTGAGAGTTAAATTGAAGAAATAAAGAAAGGAAAGAGGGGCTGCCGAATTGGGCCAGATGCAGCAGCCCAATATCCATGCAAGGTCTGCCCAGACCAAATCCACCCCAACCCAACTCCCGAATCCGGTCCAGTCCCCCAATAAACCAAACGACCCGATCCAAGCTAATCCCCACCCTTCATATCAATTGATCCAACGATCAGAACTAACCCCTTTGGCACATGAAAATGTCTGAACCAACCCCCAAGCCCTAGAGACCATCTCACTTCTTCATTCCCTCACTCTCTCTCACCATCTGCCCAGAGCCGCCGCCGGGAATCGCCCTATGGCGGCGGCCAACCACCAAACATCCGCAATAATTCACCAAATAATTCCCCTCTGGCTATTGGTTGATGTCGCTGCATGTAGCACTGGGTCCGTCTTCAAGCGCGAGCCAGTGCTCGTGTGGCGACAACGACCATTGCCCGGATTCCTTGTGGCCACCATTGACGATCCCCATTAGGTAATCACTCTTTCTCGCGGCTTCAGTTTCTCCCTGTTCTTCTGCAAATTAATTGATAATCTGATTCGGTTTGATTCCTTTTGTTTTTCTTAAAATTGCATATTTTTAGACTGATTCGTTTAGTTTGTTTGGAGTTGGCATTACTGAAATTATTTTCCTAGTTGTTCTCGGATTATCGTAGGGCCCACGTCTTTCCTATTTCTTCTTGGACTCAAAATATGGGCACACGCTTTTACTATTTTCCTAGTTCTTCTCGGATTCAAAATCCTAACTTTTATAGGATTATGGTTTTACTATAAAAGTGCATACAAATACATTAATCAACCACTACACATCTTCTACTTCAAAATCATTCAAGAAACAACAAATTCCTTTCCAAAATCACTCACTCTAAGAAATATGTCGGCTGCAGTTGCTGCAGGAACAACAACGCTAAGACAATGGTCTAATTTTGCAAAAAATTCTTATGTGTGCGTGACAGGTTCAAAATCCACTACTTACATGCTTAGACAACAAAAGAAGTGCACGCTTCATCTCAACAAAACCTCTCTTGACAAGGTTGGTTTGCCTCTTCAAGTTTCGGTTACTGTAATGTTTTGTTCTTCATCATCACTTTCTACTAGTTTTGGTAAAAATCACATACTTGATCACAAAACTGAGCTCATATTTTGGATTCCATACGATGAAATCTTCTCGGACGATGCTCATGATATTATGTCGAAAATTATCTACTTGATGAATGTCCCTTTTTCCTTGGAGGATAAGCTAAATTGGAGAGACACAAAACAATATGGCAAAATTGAGATAACTGCCATTTTGGAAAACAAGGACATGTTGATTTCCAAAATAGTGGACTCTGTTAGGAGTATGATGGATTCTCCAGCTTCGCCTAACGACAAAGTTCATAGCTTTATGAATTTGGAAATTTTGAAGGTCACTCAACTATCCCAAATAGAATTCTTGAATAAGCTTAAGAATATTGAACCAGACCACAATACTCAGGCGCGGAAAAGGCCTCAAGGAGTGATCAGTTCACGACTCGAAAAGCTTGATGCTTTGCAGAAGGATTTAGGATTGCAAAAGATGAAATTTGTAAGTGAGGGTTCAAATCTTTTTGGAGATGTGCTTTATTTGCAGGGAAGATTTCTCAATTGGCTCTACCGTCTTATGCTTAAAGGCATGTTCCCATATATATCATGAAACATGTTTTCTTGAATGGCTTCTGAAAAATAGATCCTGCCCTTATTGTCGGTCCGAATTAAAGTAGATTTGAAATCTTTGTAATTCATGTTGTTTTCAGTATGATGTAAACATTGATGTCTCTTTATGTACATGTGCTACTATTGCTTTTGTTAATTTGTTAAATGTTAAGGTGCATATTGAGTTACTTTTACAAGGTCTGATGACTACGGCTGCCTACTGCTTTTCTTTTTTGTTCTGTTTCTAATACTGCAATTTAGTGAAGACCCTGATTTTCATTATTCATTTCAATTTCGTTAATTTAATCCAAGACCCTTATATTGTTTGGAGTTTAAGGAGTAAATTTCTTGGATGGTCAACTAATTTATGGACATCGGATCATTGTCACTTTTGTTTCTTTTAGGACAACATAGTCATTCAACTATTGTCTTTTGACTAAAAAATTAAACTTCACACATTTGATATGCCATGTTATATTAAAACCTCATTTTTTAATAATAAAATCCATTAAACCCATGACCTTCATACCAATTTAATCCACCCAATAAAAAACAGGTCTACTTTAATTACGTAATACTGCAAACTTGCCAATGGAGTGATCTCCAACTTGCTAATTATTGGTTTTTCGCTAATGCTTAATGGTAATACTAATGATTAATGATGATAGTGAACTCAGCGAACATTCAACCTATAGTACAACCAAAATTCAGCCAAAGGTGGAAAATTAACGAAGCAAACGAAAAGGATGGACCTTAGATGAATTTTGTCCAATAAAAAGACGATCTTAGATGAATTTTGTCCAATAAAAGACATAATTCAGTAATATAAGATGTATAAGAAAATCTTATATGGATTATGTGCATATTCGCGAATGTAATTAACGTGGACCAATTTTTTTGTCAAAACAGCACGGTATAGCCAGTTTTCGGACTGGTCATTCAAAAATAGCCAGCGTTTACTAAGTCAATGAAAAATAGCCACTATTTTGCTGCAACAGAGACCGGTCCAGCATAATATACTGGAGTTCGGTGCACTTGTGTATGAACTCCACCATATTATGCTGCACCGGTATACTTTGCTGGATCCAGTATAATATATTGGAGACTGGAGCACCGGTGCTCCAAACTCCAGTATATTATGCTGGACCGGTATACTTGCTGGAACTCCAGTATATTATGCTGGAGTTCTAGTGTACTTATGCTGGAACTCCATCATATTATGTTGGAGTTCCAGCATACTTATCCTAGAACTCCAGTATAATATGCTGGAGTTCAAGTATACTTATGCTGGAACTCCAGCATAATATACTGGCGTATTTTCCGGGGTTTTGGACAGTATTTTCGCTCAGATTTACATGAAAAGTGGCTAAATTTCGATTACTTTTGAAACTGAGCTATTTTTGAACAACCAGTTGTAATCTGACTATTTTTAAATTTCACTCAATTTTTTTTATTGGGTGAGTTAGATGGGTATAAGGGTCATGGGTTAAATGAGTTATATTATTATGATTAAAAAAATAAATTTTTACCTCCTATAGTAAAGGTTGATACCTTATTTATTTTAAATAAATACTCTTTTAAAAAATTGTATTCCGTAGCTACCTTTTGATTTTTATAGCCAAATATCTATTTATGGTCACCTCCTACCCTTAAGCCACAAAATATGCTTTGTATCATTTTTCTCTCTTCTTTCAGATTTTTCTCCACACACTCTCTCTCAACTCTAGTCTTTCTCCATGAAAATTTCTCTTGTTTTAACGAATCAGATATCATGGCCTACTTCCGATACCAGCTTCAGATCTAATGCTCGGCGTTGATAAATTAGTCTCACCATCAGATTTATGGTCTAGTTCTCATGTTAATTGGAAGATTCTAGCAGCACAGGCTGCCGGCATCCGGATTCTCCTACCACGGCCTTCAACTTTCGTGTGCTGGTCTTTTGAGGATCTTTAGTGAATCGAATTAGAGACGCTTATATCACATGGAGGGCATAGACCATTTTACTCAAAGATTTTTCAAGTTCCAAGAATTTTCTGGCGTAACTTTCGTGTGCCGGTCCTTCAAATTCCGAGGAAAATTCAGGTTCCTGTTCCGAATAAAATCGTTGGCGGCGAGGACGATGTGGTAGATAAGAAGAAAGTGAAAATTGAGGTTCCTATTCCGAAGGAAATTGTTATTTTCATCCGCTGAGACGACATTAGGGATGTTCTTGAACAAAGACGACGGAGTTTGGGGCTGAGCTACTTGAATTTTTTGTTAATATATTTCAATGTATTTCAATGTATCTCGCTGTATTTTCATGTATTTCATTGTATTCATTGTCCTTTTTTTAAATTGTATTTCAATGTATCTCGCTGTATTCCATGTATTTCATTGTATTCACTGTCTCGTTGTATTCCATGAATGTATTCATATATTTTTTTTAATTAATATAATTTATGTATTCAAAAGTATTATATAATTTCTCTGAAGATTGCTATGTTTTTGGGTGTTTTCGGTTGAGAATCTTTTTTATAACTGGAAATATAAAATTTGTGTGTTATAATTGAGTTTGTTGAGTTATATTAGGAGTCTATTATGTTAATTGATTCACTTTCCGTTTAAAAACAGTGTAATCCCCTGTTTCACGCCGTGAATACAGTCGAATACAATAATCTGTCCAGCTGTAATCCCATGTTTCACGCCATGAATACAATCGAATACAAAATCTGTCTAGCTGTAATCCCCTGTTTCACGCCTAGAAATGCTACTGTATTCATGAATACAGTAGCTTAAATACATCGAATACACTCTAAAAAATCTGAAAACATAGCTATAAGAAGTAATATAGTAAATGGTAGCTACAACTAGCTAATAACCACTAAAACATAGTGGTTTCTGAAAGTTTCTCTTAAAAAAAAAGGATTTTAATATGATATAACATGTCAAATGTATGTTTTATTTATTTTCTGATTTAGATATTTTCGTAAGTTGTGTACTATCCAAGGAATTTACTCCAGTTTAAGATTACTCCCTCCGGTCCACAATAAGTGACCAGTTTGCTTTAGGCACGCCCATTAAGAAAATACTAAATTCTATACAAAAATACCTAGTATGACTAAACTACCATTAATTAAATATTGGTCACATAGTTATAGTGGCATTTACTTCTCTTCTCAAATCACTACATTATTCAAATCAAAATAAAATTTGAAACTTTTGCTAAAATTTTAAGAACGTCTTTAAAAAAACAAACTGGAGCCAATTTTTTCAATTTTTGCCACGAAAAACTATCTTATAAAAGGAAGCTCAATTTCCAGGTTATTGTTAAACATGGCTAAAATGGAAAAGCACCAAATTTCTCCACTTCAAATTGATCTAAACATTCCTTTGGAATCCGAGGATGAGCATGTTGGTGGAGAACAACTACTTGATCTTAATGAAGTCATCAACTTTGATTTCCTTCAAGTCTTGAATTGTTTCAAGTTGTTCCTCAACTTTGATATCCATGGAGATTGAATGACTTCTCAATTGCTAAAGTAGTTGTTCTCGAGTCTTTGAATGACTTTTCAGTTGCTGCTATTTAATTTTAGTAATTTAATGTGAGAAATGAGAAAATTTTTTAGGGATATGCACATAGGGGTAAAAGAGTAAAAATAAATTGAATTTTTTTTTATTACATAAATGGACACTTACTTCGGACCAAAATGAAAAAGCAAATTGGTCATTTATTGTGGACCGGAGGGAGTAGCATCTACGATGAACGGATTGCACAATAGATATCTTGTGTCTTTAAAGTTGTACTATAGGATTTCAATATATATATAAAAAATAGAGATTGGTTATGCATGAAATGTTGCAAATGAATTCACATATGAATTGAACTCCCAATTATATCTCACAAGCCTAGCACTCCTTTTTCTGTTAAGATATGAGAAACAGGAATCATGCATCAGAAAATATATACTCCTAAAATATTATTCAACGATGAAGCACAAGCAGGATAACTCCATCAAAGAATAAGCCAACCTATTTCTTTACAAAAAAGAAGAATGAATTCATACACTACACATGAATGTTACAAGATATGATCAGATACCACACATGAATTTGATAAGATCAGCTGGAGTTAGGTAATCAAATTGGGATATAGCTAGGATGCATTGTATTCATTCAATTAGTATTATCCCAATTCCGCAATTAAATCCACACCACAGGTTACAGTCTCTAAATGTACACACCAACTTATCTGTTTAGGAACATTATTAAAATTAAGGCTATATTACATCTCCCACAGCATAATTTTAGCTTACACACGGGAACCACTACACTAAAACCTTTTTATAACCGTCTCGTTTGTTCCGATATTTTTTGGCTGCTATACTGAAGTGCTGTTATAGATGACATATATTATAACACAACATAATAATCGGTTCTGAGAAAAGCTTGGCTTTTACACGGAATGACTGTTATATGGGGATGCTGTTATAGAAAGGTCTGACTGTATATGGGAGGATTTTTTTTAAAAAAAAATCTGAACAAAGCTGAAAATCTAATTAGTTTAAAAATATTTCAGAAAGTTATTAGAATGATAAAAGTAAAATAATTCTAAATAATTCAAATGAAGAAAACATAAAAAATTGTCATTATATTTTACATTTCGATATTTTTCTCTCATATCGCAATCATGGGCGAAGCCAATCCCCGGAAAATTACACCATATTGCTATATAATTTTTTTTGTTTATGTATATTTACTATGCGTTGACTGCCCTTAACTTTACAATGTATCTTATTTTTGTATATTCTGATACCCCATGGTGAAAATCCTGACTCCGCAACAATCTGTAAACAGTAATACTTTTAACAGTAGCAGAAATTATTAATTGGAAGAGCTGCTAAAAATATTTATAAGTAAAGAGGTCTAATGTTTTTCTGTTTTTGGTTCAAAGAGAGCCGTAATATGATTCAATCGAACTCAACTAGAAGTTAGCAGAACAAAGGATACATATTTACAAGATCAACGGACTTCAATATAGTGAATATCAGTGGCGGAGCCAAGATTTTTATTAAGGGAAGTCAAAGTATAAAGAAACAAACTCACCAAGAAGTCAAAGGGTGTCATTATATAGTATATATACATATTTTAAAAAAATTATCAAGCTAAACAGTTTAATTTTTCAACGAAGGAATGTCGGTTGACACACCTTGGGTGCATGTGGCTCCCGCTCCGCCACTGGTGAATCTGTATATAGAAGTTGATTACCAAGAGAAAGAAAAAGAACAATTAAATTTCTTATAGTAAAGTAATTAATTTCTACATAAGCTAATTTTTAAGGCTGGTTTCTCCTTTTCATCATGTATTGGGAAAAAACTGAATTTAAATATTGAAGATGACATGTCATGACACATGGACCGGTCAAATAGTCAAAGCATGGCAAACAGTTAGAAGACACGAGCAACAATAGATGCGGGAGAGAAGATACTTAAAGGTACGAGCTACTATCCAGATGAAACGAGACTCGTACCTGTTCGAGCCATTTAAAGCTCGAAGATCAGAAGGAATTGAAGATATGAATCTGATAGCGTAAAAGAGTCCAAATTCAACATTAAATGCCAAATACGTTAGAAAATTTGTATTTAATAAGAATGATTGAATAACGTTTCTTTTAATGTCATTTACTGCTCGTAATTGCCTCATTAAGACAAAGGTATTACACTTTCTCTTAGAATTGACTATAAAAGGATAAAGTCACAACATCTGTAGGGGACACAAAAAATATCATTCCGATTATACTGAAATATACTCTTATTCATTGCTTTATTGTTGTTCACAAAATCTCTTATTTCTTGATTTTCAGTAACCCGATTTCTCTATTAAATTCTAGTTTTAACCAAATATTCAGTTTTTTGGTTAAACAAATTGGTTCCGTTACCGGGAATCTGATAATCTATTCTCTTTAAGTTACATTTTATCTGTTATTATCATCATGTCGAACAACAACAACAACAATAACAGTGAGAATACCTTGGGAAACCATGAACATCAAGTCCATCAAAATCAAGGTGATTTACAAAACATTAACGTGGTTCCTTCCCCTCAAAATTCACCACGTCAATCTCATGAAGGCACTCCTACTCCTGAATCCCGGGCTGTTGAATAAGAGCAATCTGAATATTTTGAAGGAGCGGATGACGCTTTATAGAAAGTAAATTGATGCACGGGTTAATAAAGCTCTTCAAACTCTTGTTACTCGATTACCTGTTGCACCACCCACACCTACGCCTAATAACAACACACTGGAGAATCCTCGTTCTGGCCTTATCAATTCTGGAAATGGAGGAACCCCAGTGAGCCACAGGAAGGAGAACCAGGTAACTCAAGTAATTCTCATTTGCAAAATTTAGTACTAACTTTGCAGAAACAGCTTAAGGAACAAAATGAGCGCATCGAGCAAATCCCTGGTGTTCCTCCTGTGATCAAAGGAGTGGATGTGGATAAGTACTCTCAACAACCTTGGAAACCAAGTGCTGCTCCCCTTCCAATCTCTAAAAAGTTCAAAATGCCTGAAATCTCGAAATATGACGGCACAACAGACCCACGTGATCACATAACTGCATTTACTACAGGTGTAAAAGGCAACGATTTGACCAAGCATGAAATCGAATCCGTGTTGGTCAAAAAATTTGGAGAAACACTCACCAAGGGTGCATTAACCTGGTATTCTCTTTTACCTGAAAATTCTATAAATTCTTTTGCTGAGCTAGCAGATTCTTTTATTAAAGCGCACTCGGGAGCTCAAAAGGTTGAAAAAAGAATGGAAGACATTTTCAAAATTAAACAAGGGGACTCAGAGTTGCTCAGAGATTTTTGTTGATAGATTCCAACGTGAAAGGATGACTTTACCCCGTGTACCTGATAATTGGGCTGCAATAGCTTTTGCAAGCAACTTAAATGATAAAAGTTCAGAAGCCACGAGAAGACTTAAAGAAAGCCTTCGAGAGTTCCCTGCAACCACTTGGAATGACGTTTATAACAGGTACAGTACGAAGTTGCGAATTGAGGAAGATACCGTACCTCAGTTTCATCATGAAGAAAGAAGCAATTCCAGGAGGCCAGAAACCGAAAAAAGATCAGGTAAAAACAGGTACGATCCATATATGGGACCTGCAAGAAAAGACTCACGGTCAAAGGAGGATAATCAACGATATGATCAAAAATCGAGGAACAGGGAATCTGGTTCTTCATCTAGGTTCAGAAATGACCGAAACAGACAAGAGTCGCGAGATGATGACAGAGGTTTAAAAGCGAGATTCGGTGGGTATAATTTCAATGTTACTACTTCTGAGCTCGTAGCTGTTTTAAGAGGCATGGGAGACAAGGTACGGTGGCCAAAAAAGATGCGGTCAAATCCAAACAGGCGCAATCCAGACCATTGGTGTGAATTCCACAATGATTACGGGCACAAGACTTCAGAATGTAGATTCTTACAGAGTGAAGTGGATCATCTATTGAAACAAGGGTATCTCACTGAGTTATTTAGTGAGAAAGGGAAACAAGCCTATATGAAAAATAGGCATGAGCCACCAAAACCCCCATCACCCAAGAGAACCGTGAATGTTATAAGTGGGGGAGAAGATATTTATGGTGTAACATATACGGCTTCCAACAAGGTTTCGAAAGCAACGATTACACACGGGAAACGGGTACGGCAGGTTTTAGAAAATGAAAGTATTTCTTTCGATGATGCGGATACTGAAGGAGTGATGACCCCCCATAACGACGCACTGGTAATATCTTTACTTGTACATGACACTAATGTAAAACGAGTTTTGATTGATCCAGGAAGTTCCGTAAATATTATACTACTGAGGGTATTGCGTGAAATGCAAGCTGAAGACCAAATGATACCGAAGGCGCATACCTTGTCTGGGTTCGATAATTCAAGTGTGGTAACAAAAGGAGAGGTAGTCCTAACAACTTTTGTTGCAGGTGTTGTTAAAGAAACTAAATTTCAGATAGTAGATATGGAAATGACTTATAATATGATCATGGGGAGACCTTGGATCCATGATATGGAGGCTGTCCCATCAACTCTACATCAAGTTATTAAATTCCCATCTCCATGGGGAATATGCCAAATCAGAGGCGATCAACAAACATCTACAAGCATTAATTCCGTTGCAGATTCAGTTGTTAATAGTGGAGACAAATAGCAATTACAGAATTTAGGTGAGGGTAACACGGAGTCAACCTCACCTGAGCAAAAGCAAACAGATGTAGATTCGAGGCCTGATACCATTCAAGAACCAGAGGAGAACGAAAATATCAAAACAACGATAGAAGAGCTAGAGGTCGTGGTGCTGTTTATACATTGGCCCGAGAGAAAAGTGTACATAGGAGCTAATCTTAGCCCGGAGGTAAAACGCAAATTGATTGAATTTTTAAAAGTTAATGTAGATTGTTTTGCTTGGTCCCATTCTGACATGACAGGGATACCACCGGAAGTCATGACTCATAAGTTGAATGAAGATCCATCATATCCTCCCGTCAAGCAAAAAAAAAGGAAGCAAGGAACTTTCAAAAATAAGGTGATTCAAGAGGAAGTTCAAAAATTGCTAAAAATTGGTTCAATTCGTGAGGTAAAGTATCCTAACTGGTTAGCTAATACTGTTGTGGTTCCTAAGAAGAACGGTAAGTGGCGAGTTTGTGTAGATTACACAGACCTTAATAAAGCCTGTCCAAAAGATTCCTTTCCATTACCACACATAGACCAGTTAATTGATGCTACTGCAGGGCATGAGCTATTAAGTTTTTTAGATGCATATTCAGGCTATAATCAAATCGAGATGGATCCAGGTGATGAAGAAAAAACTTCTATTATAACAAACAGGGGGACTTACTGTTACAAGGTAATGCCTTTCGGTCTTAAGAATGCAGGTGCAACGTATCAAAGGTTGGTCACACAAATGTTTCAAGAACATTTAGGTAAAACCATGGAAGTATATATAGATGATATGCTAGTTAAAACTCAACATTCAGAAGATCATATAT